GATATCTGAATCCCTCCAGTGGAATTATTAACCCCCAGGAAGGATATCTGAATCCCTCCAGTGGAGTTATAAACCCCCAGGAAGGACATCTGAATCCCTCCAGTGGAATGTAAATCACCCTGCGTAAAATTTTGAAATGTAAAAAGCCTTTTTTCAAACACCTCCAGTGAAAAAGAATTCCCTCTGGTGGTCTCCAGTGGAGTCAAAATTTTACTACGAACTTCCGTGACTCTGTTTTACGCGGGCTCATCTTGCTTACTTTGTTCCCTTAGTTATAACTATAGAGCTTAGATAGACAATAAATAATTTTTGTCAGACACATTTATGTTGATTTGCTATAAATGACTTAAAGAAAATGAAACTCTCAGACACAATTGAGTTGTGTCCTTCTGTCCTTTTTTTCCGTCAGACATTAAAAAAAATCCATTTTTTTTCAAAGAATATTCATATGTTTTTTTTTCAAAGAATATTCATTTGTTTTTTTCTCTTACGTCTATCCTTTCCTTTCCTTTTCTGGCTCCGTACAAAAGTCTCTCTCTCATGTTCTCCTACTTCTCTATTACGTGCTATCCTTACTGCACATTAATTGGGATCAGCCTGTGCAAATGTCATGTCCATCCGCACCCATCCTGTCTATAACTTGACAAAGGTGCAACACTGGCTGAACACACACACCTCAACCCCCTAGGAAATACTGACTTTGAATTGCATAAAGGTAGGACAATACATCAGAGACTATTTGGAATCATCTTTATTTTCTAATTCAATAACTGGCATATATTTGATACTATATATATATAGATATATATATATATATATATATATATACAGTGATAACCAGAAAACTCCGAAATAGAAAGACGACTATATAGCAATATTTCAGTGTACTTGTTGTTGTTACAAAGTAAATAGTTTTAGGAGACACTTTTAAAGTCACTAATTATGTGAAATGGGTCTGTTTACACCGTACAATTGCCGTGTCCCATGCTGATTGGACTATTTAATGTCATATTTAGAGTCTAAAAGTCGTCTTCCTATTTCAGAGTTTTCTGGTTATCACTGTATAACAAAAAAGTTTGCAACGTTTATGATGAAAAGTTGATTAGATACTGTTTTCCATTGATTCATATACAGGGTGAGTCAAAAAAGTGTGATTTACGGCACCTGGTACAAAAGTGTACCTTTTTTCGTGAAACTCTACTGTATGGAAATTTTTCAATATTTTAAGAAATTTTTAAAAAAAATTTTGGTACTCCCATTGTCAAAAAAAATCCGCGAACTTTTTTTTTTCTCTCAAAATCAAAAATCAGAAAAGCAAAAATGTGTATATAAATTATTTCTATCGAAATCTAAAATTTTATACAGATTGAATCACAGAATCACAGAAACTTGGCAAAATTGTAACAAAGAAAATTCGCAATTTTCAGTCCTGTTCTATTTCAAAGGAAAAGTTGTTTTTTCAATGGTTCTTCAAGTTTCAACTGAACAGCGTATATTTTTAAACTTTGAATATACTAAGAAGAAAGAAACTAGAGAATTCAAATAACTTTTCCTTAAAAATTAGACCAAAACTGAAAATTGCGAATTTTCTTTGTTACAATTTTGCCAATTTTCTGTGATTCTGTGATTCAATTTTTATAAAATTTTAGATTTTGATAGAAATAGTTAATATACACATTTTTGCTTTTATAAACTTTTGCTTTTGAGAGAAAAAATATTAAAAAACACCACACAGAAGAGTTGCACAGAAAAGGTACACTTTTTTAGCAGGCGCCGTAAATCACACTTTTTTTTGACTCACCCTGTAGTTGTACTCAATTTCTGGTTAGAAAATAAAAATAAATGTTTTTTATCGATGGAAGTGAAGCAGAGAATTGTTGAGTGCTCATGTGAAATTTGGAGAAAAATAAATTAAGTTATAATTTTGAGAATGTAAGGATATGGGGAGGGGAGCAACAAATGCTTTTAAATTTTCTTAATGTCTTTGTTAAGTTTCCGAGATCTATTTCATTTAATTTTCAATTTGTTAAAAAAGATTGCAAATTTGAATGCGGCTTAATTATCAAAAAAAATGTCGTGCAACATAAAATCTTTTGAATTTGTTTTGTAGTCCTTTCTCTGATATTAAATCATCTATTCAAAAAATTTTGTTTTGATTGCAATATTTTTCGAGATCTTTGGGTTAAAAAAAAAAAAAACAGTTATCATCCCTTGGTAGTAACCCTGTATGTTTAATGTTTACAATGGAGGGATTTATTAAATAAATGTTCAGATATTTGAAATTTTTTAAAACTTCAATAGAAAGCTGACACGTTATATAATTTCACTGAATGTTGAAATACATTCTAGTTCTAATACGCATGTTCTGATTTCTTTAGTCTGTCAAAAAATCTGGTAAAGTAGACATCAAACTTCACGCGTCAACTAAACCCTAAGTAAATACAACAAAAAGTAAATACAAGTATATTCAACTAAATGCAGTGTGCACCATTGTTGATAAATGTTGATAAGAATAAAAAGAATAGTCCAAAATATTATCAACTATTTCAATCTTAAAATTAAATGAGATGTTGATTATTTTTATCAATATTTTATAAAAATAGTTGAAATTCGATTTTTTTGCAATTAAGCCAATTAACCCGCCATAAGTTTTGTGTAATTTATACGGTGGTATGCGATGATATTAATATAATGAAGACGACTTTTTAAATTAAATTTTTATTGATGACAAGCTTTTATCGAATTACAAGTTATTAAAAAGAAGGTTTGTAAATTTACATCTTCTCTTTGTTTCAATGTTTTTGTGTATCAATACTTTTAAAAAGCTAAATAATTAATCAAATTGGAAATCGAAAGTAATTTTCATTACATTGCTGTAATCGCCTTCCACCGTATTAAATTTTTTTTCCAATTTTATGTATTTAATACATGATAATTTTTCGTTAAGAATAGTTGTTGTTAAAAAAATGAACGATGGACGAACAAATTGGATCTTTCTAAGAAATTAAAAACCAGTGGTTTTTTAACTAATGGAACAATTTTTGTTTTGAAAATCGAAATTTTTCCGGAAAGAACAATTTTATTTAGCAAACGAATTTAATGAACAAATGCTTAACTGACGGATCATTTAGTGAGAAAAAGAACTAAATAACTGGAAAACAAACGATAATTTTCAGATGAACGAAACCAATTTTTTAACGATTGAAAAACAACTTACGAAATAGTTAGTTCATGAACAATGAATAAACTAAATGAAAAAATCCAAACATGCCCGTCTCTATTTCTACATGGCTTTAATTACAATGAGGGGGAGGGACGCCATAGATTCAGACACCACATTTATTATAGGATGAAACAAATTTCTTGTTCCAGACAATTCAGTTTTCAGCTTTACAATAATTTGTTCTTTTAGGTCTGAAGAACGGCAAATGACAAAAATGATGGAGGATAAGCAAATGAAAAAACAAGATCATTCTGATCAACAAAAATGCTTTTCTATTGACATGACCTCAGCTATTGCCTTTGATGGTGTAAACTCCAACTGTCTGAAGCAATGTGTAATATTAAATCTTCTAAGAAACTTCATCATGGCCGGCAGACATTATGATACGCGTAATCCAAGTATAATAATGTGCAGAGATTGCCCTCTACTGGAGAATATTTTCAAAATGGCCGCCATCCACGTGTCCCAGGTGGTCAGTGTACTGTCCATGTCACTTATTTGCGAATACCATGAGATTCTCATGGATTCCGGAGTAACGCAGATAGATGAGACTTCAACGACATCTACATGTAACTTGACACGAAAGTTTAAACTTTCCGCTAAATTGTGGAGCTTGTTTTACTCTGCTGCTCTTATCTCTACACAGAAGCTGTTCTTATTTAAAGAAGCAGCATCCCTCCTCTCAATCTATATTGTATCAAGAAAAGAGCAGCTCTTCGACCCAAGAAACATCTTTGTAGCGATAGTTGATCAAGATCCACTGGGCGAGGTGTTTGAAGTTTCAGCGTTTCATCGGAGTCAAGTTTTTTATTTTTTGAGAAAGCACCTGATTCCGGTAGAAAAAGATTATCTGTTTAAGCTGGGTAGACCAAATTATGATCGGGGCAATTCGGCAATGGCCACCTCAGTTACTAAAAAAGCTATTGTTTATTAAGAAACAAATGTTTTGTAGTAAAGACCAATAAAATGATTCATGGATGACCTGAAAATTTTATAAATTAAAATTTCTTGGATTTATATTTTCTTTGCGGTTTTCTAAATTTTGTTAAGAAAAAAATTTAACACTTTACAGTGAGAACAAGAAAACTCTGGAATAGGAAGACGACCTTTTGTCTCAAGTTTTGACTTTTCTAGTCCATTAAATAGGAGAGATTCAGACACATTAACTTGATAATCACTTGGCCGAATTTAAAGAATTTGAGCGGCGGTCTAAATTTAAGCCGCGGCTTAAATATGGTTGGTTCCACTTAAAATTGTATCAAATGTTTCAAGATTTAAGCCGGCGCTTAATTTAAACCAGGTTTTGGCACATTTAAACCGCGGCTCAAATTCTTTAAATTCCATCTACTATCAATTAAGAAAGTTATATATGTAAATATTTATATATATACTATTTAAGTATTATTTCAACATTGAATTTTAAACTAAGACGACTTTTGAACAAATTTCATATGCAACTTATCCCAAATCGTTTCTTATTAAATAATAATTTACAACATGATCTCTATTTAATTATAAGTAATCATTTATTTCTGTACATTTAATGAATACAATATGGCAAAACCCCATTTATAATTTTTTTAAATTTTTTTCAGTCCTCAATTTCTCACGCAACATTTAAAAAAATATTAAATTCTTTATAGTTAACATTTCTTAAACAAAAACAATTTATTTTATTCTCAATATTTTAAAATCAAAAAAATTCGTAAATATTAATAATAATTGTTTTACATTTTTTAACATGATATGTCTTTTATTCTGATTTAAAGGATATCAACAGAGAAAACTAAAAAACATTTAAAGATAGATAAATAAATCCCCCCCCCCAAAAAAAAAAACTCCCCCCCCCTTCCTCCGTTGTTTCCGGAAAGTTTTGAAAGGGAAGACCTAGAAAGCAAAAGTTGGCTTAATGCCATCATAACCCCCAGTAGGATATACTTAGGTACTCGGGAACTTAACAGGTACATACCTAGTACATTAGTACATACTTAGCACATTAGTACATACTCAGTAAATAAGTACATTCCTACTATACACATACAGTATACGTGTACAAGGACTATTAGCGTACTTTTCTATGATTCCTGTGATTTTTGTGATTGATTTTGATTTAAAATGACTAACCAACTGTTAGAAGAGTTTGGTCTATATTTACATTAAGTAAAACTTATGATTCAAAGCTTACATGTTTTGAATCAATGATTTAAATCTTACATGTTTTGAATCATTACTCATCTTATTGTAGAACTATCAGGAAGAAATGAAGTGTTTTGAATTTCTATCATTATAACTGCACAGAAGTCTGCTTTTTCCATATTTGTGGATAAAATTAAAAATTAAAAGAGCTGCTAGGTAAAAAAGTCGTTATTATAGATTGTGAAAATGTTGATAAATATATATATATAAATAGCAAGCTTTAGGAGCGCTTCACGCCCCACTTACTTGTAATAATTTTAGCTTTTGGAATGCCCCGTTTTTTGGTCGAATACCATTAAACTAAAAAATATCGGAGATTTTTCTGGGGATTTTCAAAAAAAAAATAATTTCGTTAAACGAAAAACCCTCCCAGGGTCATGTGAGTTTCGTTAAATAATTTGGGTCCGATCGGTTCAGACGTTTTGCCGTATATTAGATGCAAAAAATTTTATTTACAATGCACTACTTAGAAATATATATTTGTAAATATGTAAACAGTGGGCTTCGTAAAACTGTAGAATAGGAAGGCGACATCCAAGCAATCTTTTGTACATTTTATGTTTTACAAATCAATATACCAGTCACGGGCAGATGCAGAACATTTGAATTTCCGAGCCGGGTCAACCTTTCCGGTCCCAGTTTGTACTGTATCGCCCGGACATTGGGTAAATAAAGCAGACACTCAATAGGACTAGCCGGTGCAACAAGGTTGACGCGATCAAACTTTAGGTTGAATTTACTTTTACTTTTACCAGCTTTATATGTGAAAGAGATCTGTGTACACTAAACAGTTGCTGTGTTTTATTTTCATGGGACTATTAACACTTTATGGGTCTAACTGTATAGTGTATCCGTAAAATAGAATCTCAAATGCTAGTGCTTTTCATTTGTAATCTCGAGCAGCCTTTTTTGAACTTCAACTTCGAAAAAAAGTTTTTTTTACAATTGAATTGAATTTGTAAGATGTAGTGAGATAGACAAATGGAAAGCTAGCTATATGCCGTAAAGATAGAATACAGTATCTGACATATTACAGTAATGTTTAATTTAGATGGGTATCCTCTGATCTTTTTATCTCTCTCTCAGGGATTCAGGTTTTCATATTTTTTAAATAACATTCGTGTTTAGATTTATTATTATTATCATTATATTTATTCATAGGTTTTAGCTTTTGATCATGGCTCTATTTGTGAGCATCTTCTCTTTGTGCAATCTAAAACAATAAAAAAAACACTTTTTCGCGCATTTTAAAAATTTAACAAAAATCAAAAACTTTTGGAAAGGAATATTGTAAATTTGAGTATGCATAAACCTTCCCTGGGGTTTTGTGAGGTTTTACACAAAAGTTGAACCCGATCGGTTCAGCCGTTTTGACGTTTATTGGATACAAACAGACGAGCAAAGTTGTATGATGTTTCAATTTTTTATATTGGTTTATGCAACGTTTTTTAAAGTTTGTACTGTGATTGTTATTGTTGTCACACCAATAGAAACAATATTGTTGTCACACCAATAGAAACAATATTGTTTATTTTCTCAAACTTTGATGTTCACTGCACACTGGACAGAAGAAGAATTTCAAATATATGCGACATTAACTAAACCCCTTTGTGACCTCGTACCTCCTCTAGTTTTGATGTTCTCAAATCAAAATTTGAGGCCAATTGGTCCAGGGTAATGAGTTATTATCGGACATTCAAACAAAAAGACAAATAGAGATTACAACTTTATATATATATCTTCTAAATAATAAAGTTCTTTGCCTGAATATAAATTTGTTTTTCATCAAAATCGATGTTTTTTTCAAAGAAAGAATTTTTTCAAGTGTTTCTAAAATTCCACTGGCAACGCCGGTCACTTCAGCAAGCTATCTATAAAATAAAGCTCTTCGCCTATATATATTTCGATATAAATCGATTTTTTTTAAAACTGATTTTGTTTGTTCAAGGATGGGTAACCAGCAGGGTAAGGGAACTAAGCGTGGATCAGTCCAATATCCTTTTGCAGAACCAGAGAAGAAGTCCCGGACAGACTGGACAGCGGGTAAGTGAAGTCCCAAACCAACTAGAAAGTCTCAAACCAACTAGAAAGTCCCAAACCAATTAGAAAGTCCCAAAGAAACTAGAAAGCTTAAACCAACTAGAAGTTCTCAAACCAACTAAAAAGTCTCAAACCAACTAGAAAGTCTCAAACCAACTAGAAAGCTCAAACCAACAAGAAGTTCTCAAGCCAACTACATAAAAAGTCTCAAACAAACTAGAAAGTCTCTAACCAACTAGAAAGTCCCAAACCAACTAGAAAGTCTCAAACTAACTGGAAAGTCTCAAACCAACTAGAAAGTCTCAAACCAACTAGAAAGTCTCAAACCAACTAAAAAGTCTCAAACCAACTAGAAAGTCTTAAACCAACTAGAAAGTCCCAAACCAACTAGAAAGTCTCAAACTAACTGGAAAGTCTCAAACCAACTAGAAATTCTCAAACCAACTCGAAAGTCTCAAACCAACTCGAAAGTCTCAAACCAACTACAAAGTCTCAAACAAAATAGAAAGTCTCAAGCCAACTGGAAAGTCTCACCAACTTGAAAGTCTCAAACCAACTTGAAAGTCTCAAACTAACTAGAAAGTCTTAAACCAACTAGAAAGACTCAAACTAACTAGAAAGTCTCAAACCAACTAGAAAGACTCAAACTAACTAGAAAGTCTCAAACCAACTAGAAAGACTCAAACTAACTAGAAAGTCACAAACCAACTAGAAAGTCTCTAACCAGCGAAAAAAAGTTCCAAACCAGCTCTGTAAGTCACAAATAACTGCGTAATTTTAATATGATGTTAACATGGATAGGAAGCTTAAACATAAATTTATTATTATCATTAAAGTTAAATTAATCCTGTTGAAATATAAAAGCAAGGATGTTTTAATGCTAGTTCAAGCCAAAACAGATATAAAAGATTATATTTGCTTTCATGTTTAAGCAAAGTTAGAACCAAACTTTAAATTTTTCTACAGTTGTAGGCGATTATATCAATACAATGAAGACGATTTTTTTATTTTTTGCTTTGATTGTTTACAAGCTTTTGTTGAATTGAACGTAATTGAATAGAAGATTTTTTTTAATTAACAGCTTCTCTTTGTTTCCATGTTTATATGTATCTATGCTGTTTTAAACCGTGATATAAATCCAAATTGAAATTGAAAGCCGGTCATCATTGTATTGAAATATGCTACGACGAGTGTACGAAAACCTAATAAAATTAGCTCCAAAAGTATTAAGCATGATGATTGAATAAAAGAAAAAAAACTACAGTTGTCCATGATTTTATCAGTACAATGAAGACGACTTTTATTAACAATGCTTAGAATTCTTTACAAACCTTTTTCAAATTTTAATTCTACAAGTAAACAAAGAGAAGCTGTTAACTGACAACTTATCTTTGTTTATATGTCTCTACTGTTCAAAAGATTTGTAGAAATCAAAATTTAAATAAAAAGTCGTCTTCATTGTATTAATGTATACGACGAAGATTATATGTAAACTGTATATTTTTCATTATTATTAAATATTAGCTTTATTTTGGTTCTAACTTCAATAATAATTCAACCCTGTGTTTATCTTCAGTACCCATCCCACCACCTAGAGTTTCCAGCAGGAACCCGGATACTACCCAACCCTACCTAAACCTTCTAACAACTCCCCCTACCACCAGAGCAACCTACCTACCCTTCATTACCCTTAACGGTACCCTTATAGACAACTAACCTACCCACTATGGGGAAATCGTTTCGCGAAAATTTCGCATTTCTCGATTTAATCTGTGTCGCAAAATTTTACATTTTTTGCAAAACAAATTTATGCAAAATTTTGCGAAAATAACGAGAATCTTTGCATTTGTCGCATATTTTATTTTATCTATCCCAAAATTCCGCATCGTTTTCGCAAAATTCATTTTAGCGAAAAAATGCGAAATTTTACTTTTTTCGAGAAAGTTTTCGTTTGCTGTAAACCCTAGAACCGCCCCATTTTCAACTGTACATTCAATGAGAAAAATTAAATTAGAAAAATATCTTAAAGGTGGTGTTCTCAAAGAAAAAAAGGCATATGGATTAACCATAATTAATTTTCTAAATTTATTTTTCTACTTTGATTTATTACAATCCCTATAAACATGGGAATTGAGAAACGACTTGAATATCGTCTTTGATTTCCGATAATTGATAAATGGAATAAAGTGCAATAAAAAAGATTATAAAAGTCTAAAGAGCTTTCCAAAATTAGGTCTACCTTCTTTGTGTCTTATAAATTGACGGAGATATTAAACATTTGAACAGTTTTGTTGAGTTTTAATAAACTGGTATCTAGACAAATGTGCTAATATCTCCGTCAATTTTGAAGGTACAAAAATGGTAGACCACATTTTGGAAATCCTGAGACCCGTAGTTTTCAGTGTAACTGTGATACTACAAAAACATGTTTACGAAATAATTCCGCATGAAACTAAGACAATGTAGATGTCGTCGTTTGATTTCCCGTGTTTATTGGGACACCCTGTACATTGTTATGAAATCAAAAACACAAAACTAATAAGACCTTGATGACTTTAAGAGTTTTCAGAATTAAGATTTCAGTAAGATTTATATATTTAACATTTTTTGCGTCACACTGATAAAAAGGAATTATTTATTGACAGCATTGTTACTTTTACCTTTGTCTTTATCTTTCAGTTCTTTGTTAATTTCACTTGACAATGAAATATTTGTTGATCAAATGTTTACTTTAACTCCTAGTGCTAGGTATATGATTTTAGGGCCAGGACTAAATAATTTCTTCAAAAATTTAAAAACATGAACAATTATTTAAACATTACAACAAATTCTCTTTAGGTTTAGGTTTACTAATTTAGTATTTAGGTTTACTAACTTTCTGTTTAGGTTCACTAACTTTTTGTTTAGGTTTACTAACTTCGTGTTTAGATTTACTAACTTCATGCTTAGGTTTAATATCTTCATGTTTAGGTTTACCAACTTCATGTTTAAGTTTACTAACTTCATGTTTAGGTTCACTAACTTTTTGTTTAGGTTTACTAACTTCATGTTCAGGTTTACTAACTTCATGTTTAGGTTCACTAACTTTTTGTTTAGGTTTACTAACTTCATATTTAGGTTTAATAACTTGATGTTTAGGTTTACTAACTTGATGTTTAGGTCTACTAACGTTCTGCTTAGGTTCACTAACTTTTTGTTTAGGTATATTAACTTCATGTTTAGGTCTACTGACGTTCTGCTTAGGTCAAGGTTGTATAATAAGGTTGCTTACTCTCGATGCGCTCCAATGTACGAAAAATGTTGATTCCTCAACAGAGATTATATAATCTGCATATGACGTCTCTGATTATATAGACGAGAGTTACATCATATGCAGATTCTAACTAGCTATCTATGCTAAGGAGACGACATTTTCCGTACTTGGAGTGCATCGAGAGTAAGCAACCTTATTATACAACCTTGGTTTAGGTTTACTAACTACTTTTTGTGATTCATAAATTTCCAGCTCAGATTAACTAACAACTGTTTAGGTGTACCCCTTGCCCCTGGTAAGCCTATGATCCAGTTGTCCAGTAGAACTGGTCCGCAAGATGAAAACAGTGTCACAGATGAAATTAACCTGACGTGGGCTGTCCCAAAGGTAGAATTTTAACATGAAGGAGGCATGGTTTTGGGACTCTGTGTTGCAGAGGCAGCTTATGGGGGGAGGGGGCAGGGACGTCCCCCTGGAAAAATTAGGAGCGCAAGAAGATAGACCAGGCCCCTTCTAGGCCTTTAATTCTTTAATTTTGATTTTTAAGAATATATTTTAAAAAAATTTTCCCTTCAGTGCCACTTATTCACTCTAAATAAAGATTATTTATAAAATCCAAACCTTGTTTACACATTTTTATTAGATCAAATTAAAACAATGTTAGGATTTCTAGAATTTGACAAAGAAAAACTGTAAAGCTAATAATCGTTGTAGGATGATGGTGGCTTCCCAATCACTGGATACAGAATAGAAATGCTGGACATTCAAACCAACCATTGGATTGAGATCACATTCATTGAGGTTAACAATTTTCAAAATATAATGATTAGAATTATTTAGACAGACAATGCGTAACTGCTATCAAATATTTTTATTTTTTAGGGGTTCGAGCCAAGATGTACACTTTCCAACATTCTCTATGGGATAATGTACAGATTCAGAGCTATAGCCTACAATGATGCTGGACCAAGCGAACCTGGAGATCCCAGTGATCCTGTTGTGATAGATGTTCCTGGAGTTCAGATTGCGCCCTACTTTGTTCTCATGCTCAATGATACAATTGCTCTGGAGCATGAGCGTGTGGAGTTTAAAGTTAAAGTTCTAGGAACTCCTAAACCGTCGATTCAATGGTTTAAAGATGATATGGAGGTGATTCAAGAATTATCCTAACTTTGATTAACTTCCTAAAGGTCACACTTTGTAGATTTTAAACTCCATTCATTGACAACTTTAGGGGAGTGTCAGAGTAATTTCAAGTTTATACCCTCCATGCAAAGATGACCATGCCCACAACGGTACCCTTAAAACCTTTATATGATCAATATGGTCTTTTTTCTAGGTTTAAAAGTGTTCAACTTTAATACTTACTATATGTATTGCTGCATGAGAAATGCACAAGTCAATTTTTGTAGAGAATCTACAGTTGAAAAAAATCTGTTTTCAGAAATTTAAAACTTGGAAAATTAATTTATTCTTGTTCAGAAAAAATTTTTACAGGCACCACTGTGAATTGGGCATGGCCCAAGGGGCGGAAACATCATGTGTGTGTGACTGTACCAAAAGAGTGTGTGACAAGTTTACCGAACTGAAGGTGTGTACTGTAGATATATACAGTACATACGGATCTCGATATTTGTACAGTCTAGGAGAGTACATTTGTTTGTTTACTTAAAAATAAGTTTAATTTACATGTAGTATATTATTTTTAAATTTAACACTATAAGCCAAATTTTCATGCAAAGAATATAATTTTATTCAAGTTTACAATAAACAAGTCATTATTCAAGCTTAATTATAATTGACAACATTGTTCTGCAATTTCCTTGACTGTAGTCATGGTGTGTGTCTGTACCAAAAGAGTGTGTGTAAGGTTTACCGAACTTGTCTGCAAAGCAATGCGACTGGCTTTCTCATGCCAGACCAGCGCCATTTCCTTTCCCTATATTCCTATTCCTTGGCATGGCCATCTTTACACTGAGGGTCTCTTGAAGTTAATTACGCCTGGTGTCCTATTAATTACCATGATTACAGGTTTTTAGCAGTGACAGACTTGATATTCGAGAGGAAGAAGATGGAGGCTCTGTTGTAGTCAAGGTTTGTATAAACAATATTCAAACCTATAATCACTTTTTGATTTTTTTTTATCTTAGGAGGTTCGATTGTCAGACTCTGGAAACATAAAATGTGTTGCCACTAATATCCTAGGAAGAGCTACAAGTGTTGGGCAATTGATTATTGAAGGTAAAACTAAGGGCGAATCAGATTGTTTATTTGATCACCAAACCTTACAACTTAAAGGGACAGTAAACATAATTTGAAGTGACACTCCATGCACAGATTGAAATACCCTGTTACCCTTCAAAGCTTTGTCTGATTAAGATCAATTAGATATTCAGGTTTCAGGTTTCTTAAAACTGTTTATTTTCATTTGCGGGTTCTCTCCAAAAGTGACTTGCTTATCAGAAGGCAACGAAGAAATTATCAGAATTTAAAACTTTTCATATTAGAAAAACCGTTGTGGCAGGAATTGCCATCTTTGCATGGAGGGCTCTTTGAAATTACGCTCACAGTCCCTTTAATTAAATGTCTAATAACTGTTTCTTCATTTCAGCTTCTCCCCGTCTTGAGGTTCCAGAGGTTTACAATGAGGGTCTTATTTTCCGATTCGATGAAGTTATCCGTCTGAAAATTCCTCTGATTGCCAAACCAGCTCCTAGAATAACTTGGTGAGGTTAAACAAATGTAATCATTATTCTGAAATGATTGATAATTAATTTAAAACTCTTTGACATTTTAGGTTTTTTGATGATGAGCCCATCTGTGACAGTGAAGATGTAACAATTGAAACTTCTGAAACTTTGACAAGTTTAAAAATAGGAGCAGCTAAACGTTGGCATTGTGGAGAATTCAGGTGAAGAGTAAATAATATTTACTTAAAAGTCAAATCAAATCAACATATTTAAAATAAATTTACTTTATTCTGAGTTATGCAATATTGTATAACACACAAATTGTAGAATAGTCATGAGATGTATACTCTAGTAATAAACCTCATGTTGCAAAACTGTTACTGTTTACAATTTAATCTTAACAAAATGTGAGGAAATTACATTTTTCTCAAAATTTCAGGGTTCTGGCGCAGAATGAGAACGGAGAGGATTCAGCGTCTATTCTTGTAACAGTTACTGCTCCCCCGTCTCCTGCAGGAAAACCAGTTGTTATTGATATTACAGGAACAACCTGTATACTCAGGTAAACTTCATTCTTTTAAGTAGTAAAGGAATTTTTTTTATAAAGGAATTGATTTTTTGCAACAAATTCTGATTTTCTAATCCCAAAGTTGTAAATCTTAGATATTTCAAACTATAATTATGTTTGATAAAATAATCTTAACTAAATATCAAATGTTTACACCATCATGTTACAAAGATATATGGATTTCAAAATTTGTATTTGTGGCAAAGACTCAATTTCTTTAAGAGACCATCTACAATTTACACAATGATCTTAATAATGTGGAAGATATTGTTGTATTTTTTAACAATTTTATTACAATTTCCTTTATTGTTTCTGAAAATAATTAGGTTTAAAAAAAAGAAAAAAAACATGAATATCTCATTCATTCTTTTTATGGTACCATGGTGAATCGGACACACTCTTTTTTAAATCAAGGTTGACCTGAAATTATGTCTACAGAAAATTAGGATATTTGAGAGTGAACAATACAGATGATTTGCTACACTTATTGAGTGATATGGATCTGTTTACACTGCACAATTGCTGTGTCTCATGTTCTTTGAACTATTTAAAGTCATAAATTGAGTTTAAAAGTCGATATCCTATTCCAGAGTTTCTGGTTATCGCTGTATCAGTTGCAACTACTTTCAGTTTTAAAAGAAGAACAAAAAAGGAATTATGTGTTGTAAAACTGTTCCATGACAGAGAATAACTTGTAATTGTGTATTACATTTTTAAAATATTTATTTCTAGATGGGAGGCTTCCCAAGATGATGGAGGTGCTGACATTAAGCATTATATTGTTGAGTACTTCAGGTAAAAAATATTGAAAACCAACCATACATTTACAATTTAGAAAATAATTCAGGCAAAAGACTGCTTGTATAATTGTATGTAGAGATGGGCATTGATTTTTAACGAATAAAAGAACGAAAGAAATTTTTTGTTTAAAAGGGTGTCGTTCAAAAAGAAAAATGATGGATGAACAAAATGGATCGTTCACAGAAATGAAAAAATGTCTTTTTTAAAAACGAAAAAAAAGAAACAATTTAAAATCATTTGAATGAATTACTGAACAAATGAGTTTCCAAAAGATTTAAAAAAACTATTGTTTTTTCACTGAACGAAACAAAAAACAAAACAAACTATTAAAAAAATGATAGTCTTTTACAAATTGAATGATTTTTTGAAAACTGAACTGAACAACTGAACAAACAATTTCATTTAACAAACAATTTTCCTGAACGATTGATTTAAATGAGAAAATGAATGAAATAGATGGAAAATGAACAATACTTTTGGGGACAAATGAAATGAATTTTTTTTAATGACTGAAAAAAATGAAAAAATGAGTAATTTAAAAACAATGAATGCACAAAATAAAATAAAAAAGCCAACCGTGCCCATCTTTACTTATATGAAAACATATGGAAGAATAATGAATAACAAATTAAAAGCAATTATATTAAAAATAACATGTAGTTTTATTTATATGTGATTATTTTCTACTTGTCTACTACACCTCCAGACATATCCTTAAACAATTTAACTCTTTTACTAGAATTACAATTTCAAATATTTGTAGAGATGTATGGGATGTGTGGCTAAAAGCAAAAACAACAAAGGAATGTCAGGTCTCTATTGAAGATCTTATTCCTGGATCCAGGTATAACTGTTGCATTACAATGAACTTGGTCTTAAGTAGTAATGTGCTCTAAGTTGGTTCGTTTTTGGGTCGTTCTTGCATATATTTTCTTTCAGAGATAAATTTTGGCATGGTGTAAGAAAATTTATTTTTCAAAAATATCTATTCTAAACACTAGCGCTTACACTATGCCAAGTTTTGACACTGACAGAAGATTAATGCAAAAACAAACCAGAAACAAAAACTACACATTATCAATTTTAGCTTTAAATTTTTACTTTAAAAGATGCCATTTTTTATAATTTTCTAATTTCGGTGGATTTTTCTATTTAGATTGGCAAAGTTTCAAATAAATTATTTGATTTTGGCTCGGGAAATAATCTGTTCTGGTGTTTTGACACTTATTAGATACAGACAGACAAGCACAGAATATATATAAAATAACAAACTTGCAGTTAATACTGTTTTAAGTACAAATTCAATTCCGATTTTAAAAAGTCCATTTAAAAATCAAAAACATTGAATTCTTAAAAAACGATTTGACAAGTTCTCCTAAAAGTTAATGGATCAAATTTGCTTTTTTTAAGACTTCATAAATAAAATCTGAAAATTACCATTTTATATTAAGTATATTAAATATGCTTAGTGAACCTTTGATTTTTACTTTGATTTTATCATTTCTAATGGATTCACACCAGGTACAAGTTCCGTATAAAAGCTGAGAATGCTTACGGAACATCAGAAGAGAGCGAAGAATCAGACCCATTTGATGTAGGAGGTGTTCAGGAAACACGGTAATCTATTTTTCTTTTTCTAAATTTCAAGAATTTTTTAAAAATATTGCCTGTTTTCAATGGAAAGAAATATATGCACATAGTAACGGTTTTATAACAAAAATGTGCCAGCATTTTATTTTCCAGATTAATGCAATTTTTAAATAAAAGATTTTTAACAACAATACTAACAAATGTCCTAATTTTTTAACACTTTACTGGATGTAAATAAAATTAAGTGATCATGTATTCAAAGTAAGTAAAAAAATTCACAAAGAGAAAAAAAAATAAAAGCAAGGGAGTAATACAAATTTCAATTGAAACTGTTACATCCAGAGATTGCATTTTGACCTAACCACTAAACCATATACTGCAGGATGCTGTCACCGCCTTCTATTCATGTATCTGTGGATTCGATACCTGCCTCACCTAGACCTAAAACTTGGAAGGAAATGTAGGAAGAAAATAGAGTGGCACCTTTGAGAAGATATTGTGTATAGCTCATGATCAATTTGAATCTTATAACAAATGAAAACAAATAAATTATAGTGTTTAGAAGTAAGATATACAATTTGAGATTTAAAATTAGATCAGATGTTGCATACAGTGTCTTCTTGCTAGATTTAGGTCCTATTTAAAGAGGATGTGGAGTTTATGTTAATTTAGATCTAGCGTTTGCATGAATCTTTATCTTTCTTTCTCTCTGTTCTTCTTTCTCTTCCTTTCTCTTCTTGTATCCGTCCTTTTATTATTTTGAGAAAAATAGTGTGATAAGGTTTTAAGTATTAACTGTATATAAAGGTTTAAACCTTATTTGGTAGTGAAAAATAAAAAAATGATGTAAATATGAATTCAAAATTAAATGATAGTCAACCTTTTTTTGTGAAATTAATGTATCTAGAATTAATGACAAATTTAAATAGGACTGGAACATCTTTGGATGAAGAAGCATGGTCTCCGGAACGACCAGTTCCTCCTGAACCTTGGGCTAAAGACATTGAGGCTTCAGCAGAAGGATGGCCTAAAATCCCTAAACTTTCAGTCACAAAAGAGGAAAATCCAACATTAAGCCAAAAAGGAAAATGTCTGCCTGTTTAAAATCAAACAAAAAGCCCTTTTCATGAAGGTTTATCATTGCCAGAAAATTAAAGTCAAGAAGCTTAAATATTGTTGGGTTGTTTAGAACTGGGCATCAACTGAGTCCAATGAAGAAGCTATCAGAGATGGAAATGCAATGCTAAAAGATCTTCTCATGGTTAAAAAGCTATCCTTCAGAGTGTCCAGTATTGAAAGTAAGTATATGCAAAATTTAAAAAATTTGATCAAGGTTTAATTGAAATATTTCAAAGGTGATGGATTGCCATCCATGGCGAGCATTGATGGTGATGATTTATCATTGTCTGAAAGTAGTGATTTGAAAAAAGCTAGGAAGCTGTATGCTGATCTTCAAGCAATGTCTATGGAGTCAACAGGATCTACTGAGGCAAGAGATTAAATTATATTAATAAGGGTTTAAAACAAAATAGTAAGAATATTTATCCCATCTAAATTTATATAATTGTAATGGTTTCAGGAAATGCCAGACTTGGATGCAGCAGCTAGGGATTTTTACAATGAAATCAGAGCTTTGTCAATGGATACAGGGGGCAGCATTGAAAACATTCTTGACAATATTGGAGCCAGCTCGGAAAGTCTTGCATCACTTATTCCATATGATAAAAGGGAGCAACTTGCTAACTTTGAAATGAACCTAAAGCAGATGATTGAGGAAGCTAAACAGTTGGCAGCATCTCCAAGAATAAGCATGGAGAGTTTAAACATGGGAAATAGATCTCCTTTTCCAGATTCAGAGAGAAGGTCAAGAAAATCTTTATCAGTTGCTTCACAACCAGATTCTGTGGTGTCTGTTATTGAGGCTCGGGGTTTATCAATAGACCAAGAGCAATCATTACATTCAAGATCCCTTATTCTAGATGAAGAGGAACCAAGACCAATGTCTTTGAGAGGAAGGCCCACAGAAAGATCAGCTAAAAGAAATATGACGCCCCAAAAACCACCTTCCCCACCCCTGCAATTCCGGGAGGAGATCCCTCCTCTTCAGAAACAGGAATCAATTGAAGAACAAGAGCAAGAGGCTCCTCCTCTTGAAGAATTAGAGCCTCCTCCAGCACCAGCACCAAGACAAACATCAACCCCAAGATCTACAGCTCCAGGAAGAAGAGGAGCTGTAATTAATCGAGAACCAAGTGTTGGAACAGACAGATATGAGGAAATAATTGTTGAAACTCGGAAAAGAAGTATGTCTCGAGGCCCAAGTTCCAGAATGGGATCAAGAACAAGCAGTCAAATGGACTTCAGAACCAGTCAGGACTTTAGTTCAAGCATAGGTAAACTGGATCTGGACATTATTAGAAATAGCACTAAAAACATCACAGCTCTTGACCTAGACACTAGATTTGCAGAGAAAACTGGAATTGTAGAAATTAGAAAGTGCTCTACACCGGAAGTAGCTCCAAAAATGCCAACACCTGAAGTAGTTAGAAAAGTGACAACCCCTGAAGTATCTAGAAAGATGCCAACACCAGAAATGTCAAGAAAAATATTCTCCCAACCTCCTGCTAAGATGGCATTTGATGCCAATCAAAACGCAACCGCCCCTACCCTACCTCGTGCCCCTAGCAAACCTAAAGTTCCCCCAAAACCTGACACTTTGGTCGAACTTTTTCCAAAGAACATTCCACACTGGTTCGTGATCACCTACACCTACTCAGTAGTCCTAATTCTGATCCTGCTGATAGCCAACTCGACCCCTGATGGCAAGCTTTATATTCACTTTACAGCGTTCTGGAGTTTAGTCTTGTACTTCCTTCTAGAGGATGATCAGGTAAACCATGACTTTAGTCTTGCAATTCCTGACAATTTTCTTATTTATATTTGATTGTTCAGGCCAGTGATCTATTAGACAGTGTAGTGGAAGGATTCCTCAAGAAATAGAATTAGTTTTTTCCAAACCAAACATAGTTATTTCTTAAACCCGCAAGATTGTGTACTGTTTGAAAATTGGTTTAGATTATAATTGCGCATTTCTACAGTTTGCTACAGATGTTAAACCTTCAAAATTTTGGAACTGTCTAAAATTAGATGATTCAATGATTATATTTTCAAACCCCTTACAAAACAATTTTTGAAATTTCTCTAATCTATTTTAACCTTTATATTGTATTCTGAATATTCTAAATAAAGTTTATGCTTGTTAACATTTTTCTTTTCATAATAATAACAATATAATAGTGATAATAGTAGTAATAATAATAATAATAATAATAATCATAATAATAATAATAATGATGTTAATAATAACAATAATAGTGATAATAAGAATAATGATAATAATAATAGTAAACTAAGAACATTGCTGTGGTTCTTCCTGAGTTCCCCAATCAAAATTTGAGGCAAATCAGTTTTAAGGGTTTCTGAGTTATGATCTGACGAACTAACAGACAAACAGATATTACTATGCAAATCTGCCCCTTTGGTAAAAGTAAATTCAACCTATATGAAGCATAAAGCCTGACCACGTCAACCATGTTGCACCGGCTAGTCCTGTCCATAGAGTTATTTACAGTACAAATTGGGTCCGGAAAGGTTGACCCGGCTCGGAAATTCAAATGTACTATGGTTGCCCTTGTTGCAACTTTATACATTGATATCAGTGAAAACGCAACAATCTTCTTTTAACATTTTATTCATGAACAAAATGTTTCATGCTTTTATGCAATCATCATGGTTTCAATAATTTGAGAATTTTTCACAGATCACAGATTATAAATATAGTTTAATATGTCCTTGGAGTAGACCGCCATAGTATAACCCCTTGCCCTTCTAAACTAAAACCATTGAAACTAGATTTTTCTTTTTAATTGCAAAATTTATGAAAATATGAAATTCACTCCTATAAGTTGTATTGATTGAGATATCATCTAATATCTGATATATATATCAAAGTAAATAGTGATTAAAAGTTGCTTCTATCCAGATTAGACATCAAATTCTTAATTATTTCAATTACTAAAAAAAAGTTTGTCTACAAGAAAATAAATTTCCTGTGAATTAAAATATTTTTGTTAGAGGAGGTTGTGGTAATCATGGCATCAGAACTATTGATTTATATTTTATGAGATTGTATTTTGCTAAGCAGTTCAGTAAAATCGATATTTCTCTTTTTGTTTGTTTAATTTTTATAGAATTTGGTTTATAAAGTGCCACAGCTAGAGTTCATTTTATTAAACTACTTCATCTCTCTGAAGGTATGTGTATGGTGGTCTATAGCTTCATGTCTCCACACAGATACTGGTTCAGGCAACTTAAATTTAGATTTTCGGGACTAATCAGAAAATTTAAAAAGAATCAATCATTAAAAAAAATTGTATAAGGCTTATATAAAAATTTGCATGCAGAAAATACTAGGGGAATCCATTAGTATGTGCGTATTTTGGCGTTGAAGCCGACAACTGCATAAATCTTAAAATTACTATATAATTTATCCGCACATCTATATTTTTTTTCTGCAATCCTAATCCTTTGTTAATATTAATATGTGAACTTCTTTAAAAATATTCACGCGATCCCTAAATATTCCTGGCTGTCAATGCCCGGAGGCCTGTCGCCACCAGCATTAAAATAGTTCAATATTTTACCGCTAGGTATCTCTTCGATTAACTTTTAACCATTATAAATCTGGAAATTATTATAAATTCGGGTCAGAGTGTTTTTATCAAAGATTTATTTTTAATTTGTAAGGTATACAAATGGTTTCTGTTATTTATCAATTTCATTGCATTGTAATTAAGCTTCGTATTAATACGTATAACTTAAAAGAGAAACCGAATACAAATCCTGTTAAGGGTATAATGACCTATGTTCCAAAGCGGTAGAATTCTTAGTGAAATCTATGTAGGGGCGATCCCCCGTTACCCTCGGCCCTCGCTTTTGTAAATTGTGTGAAACCTGAAGTGTGAGATTTGCGTTTTGTTTCCTCCACCATGTTACCAGTTTAAAATAAAAACTTTTAGTTTTCTATTTTTTGAATATTTGAAATTATAAATTTTCTTTTAACTATTGATTTAGGGAAAAGACATGTGATCAAGGAAAACCAATGTTCAACAGGACTAAATTAATGTTGTCTCTAGAAATTCTAGGATGGCCAGTTTAGGTAATGATATCAGACAGTTTTTAAACAATTAACTGAGTTGTTAAATCCTGGAAACCAAAGTTACAATGTGACGTGCTGAGGTTTTTTATCTCTGGATGTGCAGATCTGAAAAACGATAATATAATGTCTTAAAGATGAGGATTAAGATTTTATATTCCTGAGCCCGAAAATTCTATGTTTTCAGAATTTTTGATTCTTAGTAATCATATAAAATATATATTTACACTGCAAAGGCTGTATTTATTAAAGTTTTATTTTCATGAAACATACTTTTTATTGACTCTCGTACGCCACTGCCCCCCCCCCGTACACTTCTGGTATATTATATAGCTGGCCTAGCTTCAGATCTCCAATCCCATATACTGGTTTAGGTAGTAAGGCCTACAAATGCTATACCTGCCCGGATATCTATCCATCTATCATACTTTTACCCAATTTTTATGCAGAGAGGGGGGGGGGGCTGTTTAAAATGGAGTATTTAAACATTTTAATGAGTTGAATATAAACTTTATTCTTTTTAATTAAATCTTACCCATGGACGGGATAATCCTTTAAATAAACAAATATATGTATTTTAGCAATAAAATGTTTGTTGAGCGATAAACTTTAAAAAAGAAAGAATTTTTTTGATTAATCTTTTGATTTCAAAACATATGAAAACCAATGACTAAAATGCAGGTTTAAAGAGCGTACACAATAGTCAGATAAATTTCTAATGCAGCATTTGGATAATTTCTGCCATTGTTTTATCCATATATAATTAGTTAAAGGGTGATCCCATTAAAGTCACAATCCAAAAAAAATAGAAAAAAATAAGGTGACTTGTAATCCTACATTGTTACTTCCAATTGGAAAATTCTTTATAACAAAATTACTTATTTCCGATGGTTTTTTTTTTTTCAAAGGACATTAATTTTTCAAAGAAATTGATTTTGGACTTTTTGGTGTTTTTATTTTATAGACTTTTCTCAAAATATTTTCTTAACCTATGACTTTGAAAATAGTAATACTATCCGGATCCTTTATAATAATACTATCCGGATCCTTTTTTCAGGGCGGATCTGCGACCGAATCAAACTGAAACACTGGATCCAAAGGGAATAGAATATATATTAGAGAGGAGTTTAGAGAATCTCTCGGTATGAATTTTGTCAGTCCCTTTCAGCCTGAAAGGGAGTTCAAAGTGTTCAAATCATGTAAATGTTTACAAATTATATGCAGTAGAGTACATTAATACAGTATGTTCCCTAGACTATCCATTTCAATTTCGAATTTTTTAAAGCTTTTAAATAAGTTTTATAATGAATTAAGTGAATAAAAAACATCATTTAATTTACAGTTATAACGGAAAATCATTGTTAGTAAAGTGAAAAACATAGAGTCTATGTGAAATGATCATTGGTCAATTATGAAACTAGCCTATTTCATAATTTGGTTTTACACTTTTTCTAGTAAATTCCCCTCTAATATATATTCTATTCTCTTTGACTGGATCTAATCCAATTGGGGAAAAAGTAACATTAAGTTTTATATATTCGGGAAAATCAACACTTTAAAAACATGTTTACTTAAAATTAATTTTAAAAACTTGAAACTTTTATTAAGCCATAATTAGGATATTCTTATGAAATTATTTTACAGATAAAAACAAAAATTCTAAATTTTTATTTAGTTAAGAACAACAAGAAATTAGAACAAGAAATCCATTCAAGATCTGAAAAAAAATAAAATTTTTTTTTGGATTATTTTATTTTTTTAGAAAACGTTTTAACGGATTTCGAAAAATGTGAGTGGTGCGCGGCATTCTTAGATAGTTCCGCAAGCAACAAGAGAAATATTAAAATTCAAAACAAATTAATTGAAAAATATTATAAAATATAACTATATACAAATGTGGCGAAATATAATCGATGACTATAGGTTGTAATATCTGAATGATCTGTTTGAAATTAAATTGATTTTTAACGGTCCAAGTCGTATGTTGCAATTTGTATGGCCGCTAAGTTATTCGGTATGAGACGTCTTTAACAATTTTCTCCTTATAGACGCAACAGATAGAAGTAAGATAAGTAGCGATCAAAAGCGCTTTTTTATCGCATTAAGCCTATACCCCCTTTCATTTTTCGCGAACACTCCCTTTAAGGGTTACCATTTATTTCACCATTAAAGGCAGCTTAAACCTCAGATCGTTAAATTCAATGAGTTTTATGACGTCATTGAAGTCTCATCCTATGTAGGTAACCCTGCATCTTCAAACCATTGTTTTACATATGTTTATTGTTCTTAAAAGTCATATTCTTACAAATGAAAAATCTATTTGAGTAAGGGTTTCATTAATTATTACATGCTATTTGTACTTATTGGGTCCAAATTTTGGCATAAAACAAAATTTGAATTTCATTAAATTTTGAAAATGCACGATTTTTTTTTATAAATTCCGCGAACTTTTTAGTTTTTTGTTTTATCTGTCATTTGAGTTATTGCATGTATATCACATACAGTGAGAACCAGAAAACTATGGAATAGAAAAACGACTCAATAGACTCCAGTTATGACTTTGAGTAGGGTAAACAGACCCATTTGTCTTAATAAGTCATTTAACAAGTTACTAGTAAAACTATTTGCTTTGTAACAACATCAAATATACTTTATCATTACTTTAATGTCGTTTTTCTGACATTTATATGGTTCTCACCGTATTTTCCTTCAATCAGAGTTTTTTAATGGTTATACTGCAAGATTTTCTGAAGTCTCATTCTATGTGAGTGCCCCTGTATTAATTCTAAGGCTTTTTTATTATAGAAATCACCAAACCTCTTATTGTTTGTTAGTTTAAAGCTGGTTAAAATTGTACTTGTGATTTAATATACTAAAACCTAGGCTTTTAGCTTCTTAGCGCCCATCTTCTAATTTTTAACTTTTAACTGGCTCTATCTGTAAGTATTGTCTCTTCGTACGTTATAAAACAAAACAAACCCTATATTTTTAATTCTAAGACTTTTTCATTACAAAAATTACCAAACCTCTTGTTGTTTTTAAGATTAA